GTATCTACGAGGAGAAGAGCAATGTGGGAGATCAAGGCTATCAGGAAGGAGGGGGTGCATTCCAGGAGGGGAAAGGAGACAAAAGACAACACAGTCTGCAGGGGGAGCTTGGGAAGCAAAACAGGTTCAGGATAGCCACTCCCTAGAATCTCCCAGGGTATATCCACTTGTTGCAGTAGTATAGATTTAGTTGGGCCAGATTCTGTCTATAAGGTGTAAGCAAATAAAGGAACTGTATTAGACTGGACTGTTTCATCGTTGTTCTTGGGCTAGGCCTGACATAAGACAGCACACGCTATGGTCTTCTTTGTTATCCCCACAACAACAGTGAGCTAAGTTGGGTTGATACTTGTCCTAAGCCATCCAGTTGTTCTGTGGCTGAGAGGAGACTTGAATCTAGTTCTCCCCAGTTCCAGCCCTTACTAATTATGTCACACTTGCTGTCTGAACCTACCAGTTTGTAAAAGAGAAACTGATGAATATAGAAGGGGTTAGAGAATTCTGATATAAATAGACATAAGCAGAGGTACTTCAAGGGGTGGGGTGGGGGATTAACCCCACCAACTTAAATAAAATAATGGTCTTGAGAATTTTGAATGCAGGCTAGTGGAGGGATTAAAAAAGGTGCATGACACAATCAATACTTTCAGCATAGGCTTGTCTGTTTTTGCAAAGTTCATCTTAAGAGTAATTTCCTTTTTATAATCTGCTATATTGATAAAGCAAAGATACGTTTTTTTAGTTTATTGACCTGTTGGCCTAGTTCGAATCACAGGGCAGTTTGAGACAGGGGAGCAGTGGGAAGAAATCTAAGGCAAGAAACTCTCACAGTCAACATGTGGGGGTCATAGAGCATATTTAAATTTACTTTACATCTCTTGCATGGCATCCTATAGGCAATCCAAGGCAAAAGCAAACCTGGACCATCAATTATTGTGGAACTCCCGCAATGGTGCCATTGGGCAACTCCATCCACAGGTCAAGTCATTATAGAAGCTTGAGAACAGTGGCTGCTAGGTGCATTCTCTGTTCAGCTGTCGCCATGCTGCTCAGGACAGTCCTCTTCATTTACCAGTAGCACAAAGTTCTCATCATGCCGGGTGACATACATAAACCAGCTGGGGGAAAGGGATATAAGACATACTAAGTCAACTGAAAAAATACAGAAGCCATAACATTGCCATAAACTGTAATCCTCTTCAACAAGAAAAAGACACAATCTTTCTTGTGTTATAAGTTACGCTATGAAGAAAATGTCCATTGTGCCACTTTTAGATCAAGACTAAAGGTGGCTCTAATTTTCTGAGAGCATTTGAGACAGTTTAATATGCTTTCACCAGGACAACAGATACATTATTTATATTTTTTATTTTTATATATCAAATTTGTCACTGCCCATCTCGTTAAAAACAACTCTGGATAGTTTACAAAGCAGTTAAAATCACTTAAAAATACAATATAAAATGATCCTGAATAAATAGAAAATAAATAAAATCCAAGAATACGGTAGCTCAGGGAGTGTCATCAAAGCGCCGGCCACCCCAGGACTGGGTAAGAATATTAGGGTAAGAACATTAGAATATTTGGGGAAAAAATATTTTCAATTCAATTAAATTGTGAAGGACTTCTTCCCATAGGTCCTTTTCAGATTAGGAAGTGTGCACAGCCAGGTTGGTACAGAATAATGGAAAGATGTATCACAGAAAACAACAGCCCCAGGACAGCATCTTCTACCACCTTCTACAATAAACTAAAAAAATAGAAAATGTGGAAAGAAATCTCAAGAACTATGAAAATTGGATACAAAAATAGATATCCCTTTTGTAGGGAGATAACATTTTTGAGAAATTAGAAGGTAGATTTCAGCACTGCATAATGTACAATCCCTGCTTACCTCATTAAACTCAGTGGGATTATGCAGAAACCAGCTGATAAGAGAAAAATAAAGCCGGGAAACCATGCTACAGTCATTGCGTAGATGGTGTTAGAAACAGCAAGTGAAATAGTCCCCGTTGCAACTTCTAAGGAGGCAATGCAAGCAAATAAAGCTCCTGTCAAAAAAAGGGGGGGGAAAGGAAAAAAACGGATTAGAGATCCAGAGATTTCCGTACGTATGTGTGACTGTACTCCTAGAAGGACGCTGACACAATGGCAACAGAATGCCATGTCTGACTGACTTAGCTGTCTGCACATACCACCCAAGGCATTTCTTTGACAGTCAAGCAAATGTCTGAACCACACCAGTTAGACCAGGGTTCCTCAACCTTGGCAAATTTTTAAGAAGGGTGGGGTACCTTACCTCCAT